GTTGACGTATTCGGAGCCAGGAATGTTCTACCCAAATTTTAAATATAGTATAACTGTTAGTATTTTTATTATTTGCATGTCCAGTAAAACAAAATGAATTACGTATATTATTATTATCCTCTGAAAATCTATACTATTCATTCCTTAATTAAATATTTATGTTTCATTCCTCAATTCGTAATAACATTTAATTCAATAATAATTATTACTGTCATAATTATCAGCTATTTGTTTGTTTACTTTTACTTTTATTCATTATTATTTCTTCCAAGTACTTACCTGTAATTTGTATTTGACTTTTAATAAGTTTGTCTATAATGTAATTCATTCATCTGCACTGTGCTGTATCTGTAATTGGCCTTGCGGCTGTTGACTCGGCACATTAATAATAAAGAATTGAATTGAACTGAATTATTATTATTATGTACAATTGCAAATAATAAAATCAGCATTCTAACTTATGATCATCTGCTTGTAAGTTCAGCATGCCACAACATGAAATAAATTGTATTCCATTATAAACTTATTCCACTCACAACATTAACAACACAAGGTTTGTAGGAACTGAAAGGCTCCACAATAGGAAATTAGACATTTGAACCTCTTCTTACATTCTATATGCTAGTGTGCTCAAAGCCATTTTTCATTGTTTGCTCCCAAGACTCTGTTAACTTGTACACTCTACAAAACTAATACTGGCTGGTAGTTACTATAGGATTCTGACAGCAAACACACAATTCATCTCAACAAGAAAATACTGAAATCAGTAACTATTTACATTTGTACAATTCTAGGCTGACCATGCAACAACACTGGATGGAGCTGTTACTCTAGCAAGCAATAGTGATCTAAAAAAAGAACACTATTTTTTGTGAAATAAATATAATTCTGTCATTTGAATGATAAAATATGAATTCCTTTCACTATCATCCTATAGACAAACCATAACACTGTTTAGTGAGGAAAAAGAAATATAAGTTTGACTTTGTGCAGGTGACAGATTACTGATGAATGAATGAACACCATACATATATGCTCATATTACTCATAGAGAAGGATCAATGGATAAAAAAGGAGAAACTCCATGTAAGACATTTGTTTAAGAGAAAGGAATGAGTGACTGCCTCTAGTGCTTTAGTAAACCCAGAATGATCAAAATTCAGTTTTCTGAAATGAGATTCATAACATATGACAAATACTGTTTGCTGGGATATAATGCTGTGTAGTCAAACAAAAATTCACTGATGTCTCAGAGAAATTTACTGCCCCTATCTTCTGAACTGAAGAGCAACCAAAGTAAGAAATTAGCAAGAAATAGGCAGCAAGGCTTTGCTTGTGATCTGCTTCTTGTTTGTTTCTTGCTTACTTTACTCTTCAACCATGAAGAGAGGCAGTACTTTCCTTCAAAAAGTCAGTGAACTTCTACTGGAAACAAAGCATTATATACCAGAAGACAGTACTCTTTTACAGGAATTACCTCAAATTTTTTATAATGTATGTTCATGAGGTAAGAATAAGATATACATGTAAGGAGCAGTCTTAATATTTTGTAACTGAACATGAGCATAGAGGACATAAAATATGTTTAATTACAGTAAAAGAATAAAACTTAAAAGCAAAAAAAGTAAAGTAAAGCTATCCCTGTAACAGGCTGTGAAGGCTCATAGGGTCGTGAGATGTTGAGGGTCCCACATTATCTAGACAATCGGCTCAAAGATGGTGGTAAGAGTGTCAGCCTTATGCGCTGCCTGCGCTTTACTCCCCAGGACAATTATTTAATTAATTCCTGGTACTCATTTCTGTTAGAGGCTGAGTCGACCCCAGGGCCATAGTGCGGCTGCAAGGATTAGGTCAATTGAAAAAATCCAATGACCTCATCGGGACTTGAACCCGCAAACTTCCGGCTTGCAGCACAGTGCCTCAACCAACTATGTGAACTAAATATTAAAATTACACCTAAAAATTAGATTTAGGAAAGTCTCTGAAGAGACATAGAATAACTACATATTTTGGAGCTAGAGCAGAACATAGGATTTGATTAGTGATTAGTATGACTGCTATGCTATTTTAGTCAACCTCCACCAATTTCAAAATATGTTTCACAACAATATAAAACGTGTTACAAAAGGAAGAGTGTCTTACCTTCTGCAGCAGGAATCACCTTGTAGGTTGTCTCCAAACGTACCAACTCCTCTGTCACACCTTGGAAGAGTTCCGAGTCACGACGCTGATCAGCTTCTGTTCTGACAGATGGTGGCTGTGAAGGCTGTTCCTTTGGTATGTCTTCCTGTAATGTGGATATTCCATCCTCAGTTGTTGACTTAGATATTAGAGACACTTCCTCCTGCACATTTGGGACAACCTGTATTGAGTCTTCAGTTGCAGATGACACTTTAGAAATGTCCCCTAACATTGACTGGGTTGGCACTTTTTCTTTTTTTGGTTTCACAGGTGTTGCAGATAACTGTTCTGATATGGGTGGCTGCCGCTCATATTGTCGATCACGTTTGTCCTGAGCAAATATCTCCTTGAGTTGAGCCACTGTCTTGCGCTCTTCTTCCACTACTTTCTCCTCTCCAATGTACTTTGTCTCTTCTATGTCCCGCTCCTGTTTGTCTTTTGAAATGACTGACTTTGGAAGGCGGTCTGCAAGAAATAAATATGTAGAATTGTGAATTAATCAGTAACACAGTGAAGAAAATGCATTCTTATTGTTAAGGATGTATATAAATTTTATAACAAGGACTGAAAATGATATAGTTCTGCAAGACAAACCAAGAAAATCCTATACAGAGTGCTTTTAATTTCTGAGAATGTAATAACTTTACAAGAGATTGTGGGTCATAAAACGCATTACACACTCATTATATTTAACGCAGCCCAGAATGAAATAACCCATCCTTCATATTCTGATTTATGATATATTTTTAACCATAATGTATTAAATATACAATATATTAAAGAAGGAAAGGGACCACTGGGAAGACCAAGGCATAGGTTGGTGGACAACATTAAAATGGATCTTAAAGAGATAGGATGGGATGGTGTGGATTGGATTGATCTGGCTCAGGATAGGGACCAGTGGAGGGTTCTTGTGAACATGGTAATGAACCTTCGGGTTCCACAGAACGCTGGGAAATAAGACGGCTCCTCAAAAAGGGCTCAGCTCCATGAGTGAGTAAGTAAGTATACATTAAAGTACTTGGTCAATCCTAATGAAGTAGAAGGTACTAAATTCATGTACCCACCATGCTTTTACTGCTTTAGCTTGTAGATTTGCAATAATATTTATTTTTCTTAACATTGACAACTATGTGCATAGCTCATATTATGCTTGGATACCACCTGATAAGGATAATATAAATAAAATATGAACAGATTATTATCAATATACATATTTACTATGTGGTCCACTCTATTAATATAGTGATCTTACCACCATGAAGTTCCATTCAGATATTTTAATATACTGAAAAGTTCTGGTAAGAACCTAGCACGTCTATTTTCCTTTATATCCTTTCATCGTTGCACAGTGTCAAGCAAGTTTTTAATTAATATCTACACAACTTGGTAATCATAAATGTATAGGAAATTTCCATTGGTATTAATTTCTCATGCACATATGTTTTCAGCCATTACATTCAAAATGTCACATCATCACAACCTTCACGACTCTGAACACACAAAAAATTTCATGTACTTGTAAATAATGTACTTACAAGTATGTTTATGACCTACCACCACACCAAATTAAAAGGCTATTCAGCCATTCACTCCTTACTGACACCAAATGCAAGAACAATATACATATTTCAAGCAGCTGCTCTTTTTCTTAAAAAAAAAAGCTTTTAACAGAAGTGAATGTCCCCCTTCCCAGAAAAAAGCTAACATCGCACAAAATTTCAGGATCCTACATCGAATGGTACTATTAATATTCATACCTAAGTCCATATGAGCATAAATTTGTGTTACTCACAGTAGCTAAGTAAGAAGTATGAAGACAGGGTAAACACAAAAGGAATGACATCCACATAAATCTCGATGAAAATCAGCAACTTTGTTAAAAAAATATTTAGGAGGAACAAACATACATACACACAACAGCATGGAAACACCATCAGCTTCTATTTCTTTATAAAACAAAGAAAATAATAAAGCATTGCTGATGTGAGCAAATGTGACACCTCCTGAACCTCAAAACAGACTTGAAAGTACTTTTAAGAGCGCTTCCACATGACCTCTCATGAACTGGTGCATGGGAGCCACTCAGCTGAGCTGCCTATTCAGAACAGTTGCTCATGTGAGCCGCTGCAGTCACCAAAAGCATGATAGCAGTTCAGTGCAGCGCGTAGTGTAGTCATGCTTGAACCAGAAGCTGCAATTTTATTAATCCTAGCAATTAATACGAAAAAGAAAAAGGAAAGTAATTGAACATTATGGGTTCATCCTATAATTAGCTCAAGATTATATTCGGTTTCAGAAGCTACAGGAGGACATTACTTCAGAATGTCCGTATCTTCTTTTGATGAATTACACAACAGTTTGAGGTTTTCATTCCATCAGAGAGACACCAACATGAGGAGACGTATCCCCACTGTGGAGAGAATAGCAGTGACATTGTTAGTTGCCCAGTTCACTTGCGCTCATCTGAAAGGCTCAATAAGACTGCATGTCCCGCCAGTAGCGCGCTCAAGCTGGCTGCAAGCGAGGAGAGCCGCGTGGCAACTCACATGTGCCGGCTCTGTGGAGCCAGACGTGTGTGAAAAGCGACACTGAGAACAATGTTCTTCTTGTAGCTGCAGCTCTAGTGAGCTGTTTCACAAGAGCTCGTGTGAAAGCACTCTAAGACTTGAGGAGGGTGGAGGATGGAAGGGGAGGGGAGGGTGGTGGTGCTGGTGACGTTGGCTGTGGCAGTGGTCATGTTCAGAGTGTAAGTGGTGGTGTTGACAGTGGAGGAGGTTGTGGTGTTGATAGTCAATGTGGTTGCGGTGGTAGCAAAGGATTAAAAAATAATTGATCCATTACTTCAAGAGTATTTATATAATTTGACAGTTATGGGTTTTAAATCTATAAAATAAATGATTACCATGCCGTTTGTAAGCTGATTTCAGAATGGCAACTGGAATAATTTTACTATTCACTACAATTAAATACCTTCATAACATCGACAAAAGTTACTGGTACTAACCGTCATAAGGCTCTTTCTTCTCTGCTTGTACCAATTCCTCCACAGATTCTGATTCCTGAAAAGCGTTCATGCAGGATATTAACTAAGTATCTGCGATGATGGACAATGTTTATAAGAGACAGAATGTTTAATGGGGTCTCACAGAAAATAGACAATTAGAAAACGAAGGCAGGTACGAGGTGGGATATGGAGTTTTTTATATACGGAAAACTGAAAGAAACTTTCAGTTTTCACTGAAGTGCATCAGAATATGTTGTTTACAGTATTAAAATGTTTAAAAGAGCCTGAGTGCAGAGTATCTTCTTACAAGGTTTAAATATTGATACAGAGAGAAAAATAGATACAGATCTTTCCAAAAAGTGCAGGGATGTGCTCTATACATCCTGAAAAGTATTCTGTATGCTGCAGAAAGACAGGTTCCATGGTATGCTCATTGGAGCACCTTCTTTGTGACACTCTTATAAGCATTATTTTTAATTAAATGAAATAAAATTAAATGAAAGTTCAGATTATCATTTTAACTACTAATCAAATACCAATCATCGAAATGCTTCAGACTGATTTCCTGAACTTACACACTGGCACACCAAGCCCATTGGTGCACCAGTTTTGCTCATGACTTGTGTTCAAGAGGTACTCCATTTGAATTTTGGCTGGGACACCTTTTATCCATACTGAGATTTTTCATGGTTTTATTCAGTCCCTCCAGGCATATCCCAGGTTAATACAGTCAACTCTCAGTTATCTGGGATAATGGTGGGCATGGAAATCACGATTAATCAAAAACCTGTTTAAGACAAATGTAATTAAAAGTAGTACTGTAATACTGTACCTTCATAATACTACCTATATTTAAATTTACTCAACCTCGTTTTTATGTCATCTCATGGCCTATTTAATGCTTTTTTTACATTATACCAAAGTGTGAATTAGTTATTTCAATCACAGTGTTCAACAACATCCAACACTTTTTATGAATATTCACACTTAATACTTAAAAAAAAATTAATATTGTCATTTGCTTTTTCATGGCATTTTCCTCTTTAAGGATATCCGCATGAAACCTACATAATATTAGCTTGTCACTTAATAAACTGTTCTCTTCACTCTCAAGATAGTCTAGTAAGGATTCCAAATGATTAGGAGCAGCACCATGTGATATTTTCTTACTAGCAGCACTGTCCACCTCTTCCTCATTCTCACTTTCTTCCCACTCTTCTGGCTGCACCCCCACTGAACTTACGGTTTCGTCACTGCTTAACATTTCGAAGCCCGGCTCACACGAGTTTCTGTTGAATACTTAACACAACATGCTTCCTTTTACACCCTGACATTTTGCTAACACACTTGAAGATCGATACAAAGAGACCAACTGGGGCGGTGTATCTGTCCTCGAAACTTTCCACAAATCCTTGCATTCTTTCACCCCTACCCTAGAACATTGTGTTAGCATAACGGGACCAAAGAATGCAGAGCTCGGTTCACACTAGTGCGAAAATAGTGTTACAACTCACCATGTGAAACAAAAGTGAATGAATATTAAACAACATATAAGCCTCAAAAAAGCCTCAGTAGCCACGGTTAAGCTGCAAACCAGTTAATCCGCCCCCGGGTAATCAAGCGTTGACTGTACCTCAATCAGGACAAAGGTGCTTCCTTTGAAATAATTTCCAATTCATTATTCACTAATCGTCCTACCATTTCAAGCTACAGAGTCTGAGATAATGACAGTCATACGAGGGGCATTCAAGTTCTAAGGTTTCTGATTTTTTTTCTCAGGACTGGGAGCAGATAGACACATACGGTTTAGTTTAAAATACGTGTGCACTCTTTGTGAATGCGTGACAGAGATGGCAGCACTCTACGGCATACAGAACTCTAGTGGTAGCAGCGAGAGTGTGGAGTGTTTTTGATACTTTAAATGGCGATGTTTTTGTTACAAGAACAGTGAGTAATCATTCGTTTTCTCCACTTGCGTGGTGCGAAACCCATTGAAATTCATCGCCAGTTGAGTGAGACATGCGGTGATGGTGTCATGAATGTGAAAAATGTGCGTTCGTGGGTGGGACAGTTCAAAGAAGGCCGAACGTCGTGTGACAACGAACCAAAACAATCTCGGCCTCGTACCAGCCGGTCTGACAATATGGTCGAGCGAGTTGAGAAAGTTGTTTTGGAGGATCGCCGATTGATTGTGGAAAACATTGCCTCCAAAGCTGGCATTTCCGTGGGATCTGTGCACAAAATCCTGCATGAAGACCTGTGAATGCGGAAAGTGTCCTGCAGGTGGGTGCCACAAATTCTGGCGGATGACCACAAGGCTGCATTCATGGCAATTTGCCAGGCGATGTTGACACGTGATGAAGGCATGAATGGGACTTTCTTTTCATCAACTGTAACAATGGATGAGACATGGATGCTGTTTTTCAATCCGCTATTGCATCAGCAATTTTCCAGTGGTCAAAACAGACTCCTACAGAAGCGTTCGCAGCGGCCATGGAATCATGGCGTCAATGTTGTGAAAAATGTGTACGGCTGCAGGGAGATTACGTTGAAAAGTGACAGACGTTTCAAATTTTTTGTATGATTATTGCGTGAGAAAAAAAATCAGAGACCTTAGAACTTGAACGCACAACGTAAAATAAAAAAAAAAATAAAATGCACTTATATGGATCCTCTTGCACTAGGTAAACATACACAGTGAAAATAATCGCGCATTTAATGATTAAAATGAGACTTCTTATTCTTCATACTTGCTAGTACTTGTAGAATCATGCACTTAGGCACACTACGCATGGCCTAAGAAAGCACCTCTTGCTTGCTTGTTTGCTTGCTTGTTCACGTGTTTCTGCTGCTACTACCAGTACTACTACTACAACTCATAATGCCTTGAACAAATGCTGTCACTCTTACTTATGTAGCTGTGGAACGGACATGGAACTACAGTAAACACATATCATGAGATCACTATCCAGCCAGTCTATTGGCGCACTGGTTGGATCTACAAAAAACACGGCTTCCTCAATTGTTGCATGTTGGACTGTGTTTACAGAGCTGTTGCATGGCAACATGTTGATCAAATCCATTACAATAGATATAATCACATACTTACATAGAAAGTTATACTAATGAAAGTGCTTCATGTACAACTGAAATCCAAGAACAGTTATTTCCACGGAAAGAAATTACTGCAGTTTAGTGTAGTATGAATAATGGCATTATATTCCATATGTCACTTAATATGTAAGGTCTTATAGGTATTCCATAAAATTAAAAGAACGCAATTAATGTGATAAGTTAAGCAGGTCTGAATGCCTGATGAATTTAATGAGTTTGTACCTTCATAATGTCCTGTTCATCATATGTGATGTCAAGACTTGTGTCTCGCCGTAAAGAGGCATCTCTTGAGGGTCCAAGCTCTTCCTTGAGATTCTCAAAACCTGATTGATCAAGCTGAACTTTGGCAACAGCCCTGTCCATTTCATCAACATTAAATATGCACTGCTGAACGATGTCATCCCGCCCAATTTTATGAAGAGCTGTCTCTAGAACATTACCTGAAAGCAGAAATAGAAGAATCATCACTGAAAATGTTTAAAAAAAACGTGAAGATCTTTACACAGAAAATATCACAGATAATTTGACAAGCCAGCCTATATGCAGATACTTCATCAACTGACCAAGGTTTTAGCTTTGTTGTTAAAACATAACTAAAAAAGGGAGTATTTTTTGTTAAGAATTCAAAAATCATATAAATTATGAACTTTTATGCAACCATCTTTCATCATTTTGTCATCATTTCCTTGTCAGAAACTTCAACAGACAGCCCAGACCCAGGGCCATTTTCAATTGACATTCTACCTTATCAAAATGATTATTACAAAATCTGGTCAGCATGGAAGCAAAGTGTTAACAAAGTAATGAGATAAATTTTATGGTGAAAGAAGTGGGGAAACTTTGGCGACGAGATTGTTACAAGATGAAACCTACATCAGTCCTCTACCTTCAGTCCAAGATTTAATTTGCTATTTTCAATACATGTAGTACTGTTGTAGTTCATGTAGATGTATGTGTTGTTACAGCATCACAAAAATGGAGAAAAATAAACTCGAGCAGCGTTATGCAATTAAGCTTTCTGTGTAACTGGGGGAAGGTGCTACGAATACTTATGAAAATATGCAGATAATGTTTGGTAATGATTCTCTACCATGTAGTCAAGTATTTTGGTGGTACAAAGACTTGGTAAATGGGCCATAAAGGGTGGAAGATGAGCCGCGATATGGATGCCACACCTCTTAGAACAAGCACAAATGTCTACTGTGTAAGAGCTTTCATTTGTCAAGATCGAAGTTTGACAATTTGAATGATTGCCAATGAACTTACTATTAATGAAGGTACACTTCACCAAACTGCTACATAGAATTTGAACACGAGAAAAATGTGCATAAAGTTGGTTCCAAAAATTCACTGGGCAAAGTGTGTTACAGCAGAGAGATGTTATTCTGAAAGGGACAATGTTGATTTAGATGAATAACTAAATAAATAATTTTGGACAAAATGAACTTAACACAACTCGTACATGTTAAGCATATGATCATGAATTTGCTGGTTTACTGAATGGATATTGCATCATAAATCAAACTAATAAGAGAAATCAAACTCAAACTTTTAAGCTATCACCATATTCCCAATATTCAACAACAAACAGATTTTAAAACAAAATCTGTCATGCACTTGGAATCTAACATTTTACCAAAGTGGGTTCAATAGTTATTATTAAAAATGGAAAAATCAAATACAGATTTTACAGTCAGCCATGGTAGAACACAGGCGTAACCTCTATCATCATATGCTGCTCATATGTTGATTTTCTCTGTGTCGTGCTTACATATCACTTAACAGCCATATTGGATGAGAAGAAACTTTTTATCATAATACAAAACAAAAACAAATGAATATAGATCACTATTACCAACTTGAACATTTTTACATTACCAGATTCTCAACATTCCTCCTTAATTTCAAAATGTTATAAACACATTTCTCATTTTCCTCCTTAATTTCAAAATGTTGTCGACATTATTAGCTCCTTTACAAACTTAAATTGAATAACACTTAGTAATTTTGGTCTTCAGATTACAAAATTAGTACATGTAATTACAATTTTCTCTGTCTTATCAAAATCAGACGTATTTCTTCTTAAGTATAATGTCTCTAAACTTGGTAAATTTCTCTGGTGATAGCGGTTTTGTTAAAATGTCTGCCACCTGAGTTTCAGTGTTCTTGTATCCTTCTGGTATCTCCATGTAGTTTTCCTCCTCAAGGTCTCCATACAGGAAGGCAGTCTTCACATCAAAGGTTTGCATGTTCATATTCTTACGTGCTGCTATGGCAAACAGTACTCTAAGAGAATTCATGTCAACAACTGGGCTAAATGTATCCTTGGAATCTATTTCCCCTTCCTTTTGTTGGCATCCTCTCACAACCAGTCTGGCTTTGTGTTTTCCATCATCCTTTATTTTGAAAACCCATTTACTGGTAAGAATCTTCTTGCCCATCGCTTTCTCTCTATTTATATATATCCAAGTTTTGTTTTGGTAGAGCGAATTCTTTTCCTCTTTAATGGCTCTCTTCCACTTCTCGCTGTCTTTGCTCTCCATGCACTCGTCATATGTATAAGCGAGTATGCCCTCCTTTTGACTCTCTGTGTGATAGTCTTGGTACTTTGGGTGCATTTGAATGTTTCTTCTTGGTCTCAATGCATATCCATGTTCATTTTGTCCATTGTTTTTCCTTCCATTATCCTTGTGGTTAGCATTTTCATTTTCTTCATCCTCTTCAGTATCTGCTGGTTCTTCTTCATTGTTGTCAGCTTCGGGTTCTTGCCGCATTTCGCTATCTTCCTGATCTGAAGTATTTAGCTTGTCTTCTGGATCCATCACTCTTTCCATTTCCTTTTGTTTATTTGTTGTCACAGGTTTACTTGTGAATGTCACATCTCTGGAGACATTGGTCCTTTCAGTATTTGGATCCCATATTCTGTAGCCATTTGTGTTGTATCCAATGAATATTCCTTTCTTGCTATGACTGTCCAACTTCTTCAATGGTCTGAGAATTTTAGTGTACACTTCTGAACCAAAAATCTTTAATCCAGCCAAATCTGGTCTTTTACCATACCAATTTACCGCTGGCGTTCCATTCACTGTCACTGTTGGACTTCTGTTTAGCAGGTATGCAGAAGTGAGTACAGCTTCACCCCACATTCTCTTACTTAAACCTGAATCAAAAATCAATGCTCTTGCCTTTTCCACAATTGTACGGTTCATCCTTTCGGCAGTGCCATTTAGCTGTGGTGAATATGGTGTAGTAAATTCCATTACAATCCCCTTGTTCTTACACCATTCTCTCAAGGCGTTGTTCTTATATTCCCCTCCATTGTCACATCTTATTCTTCTCACTCTTGTATTGAAGTGACACTCAGCTTCATTTACATATTCCTTCAAAAAGGTATACACTTCACTCTTATTTTCTAACAGGTATATCTTACAAAAATGAGTATAATCATTCACACATGTAAGGAAATATTTCTTATTGTCATAAGTGGTGGGGTCAATTGGTCCACACATGTCACTATGAATTATCTCTAATGGCTTTCCAGCCCTACCTCTTTCTGTATCAAATGGGAGTCTCACTTGTTTGGCCTGCATACAAACCGAACATATATCAAAATTTTTACACTTGCTCACGCTTTCTGGTATCCCTTGGCATATCTCTTGTGGTTTCCTAAGATTCGCATAACTTATGTGACCTAGCTTTCTATGCCACTCTACACTTATCTCTTGCTCAGTCATCATAGCTTCATTCCTCGCGCTAAAGTTAATTACAAACAATCCATTTTCATCCTTTTTTCCTTTGATTACAACATTTTTGTCCTTGAGTATCTGGACTTTCTCGTTTGTAAACAACACTTCTCCATCATTTTCTGTAATACAGTGCACTGACAGCAGGTTTTTGCTGAGTTCTGGAACATATGAAACGTTTTTCAAACTACACTCTTTAAATTTCAAATTGCCTATTTCTTTTGCAGTCATACTTTGATTTTTCTTCACTACCTTTATACACTGAGTATACTGCTTAGTATGTATCAAATCGGTCTTCACATTTGTCATATGACATGTGCTACCACTATCCACTACATACATTTTGTCTTTTTTTACTTGCATCACTCACATGGGTTTCTGCTGCTTCAGCTAGAAAATTGACCTTGCTTCTTTTATTCCTATCTTTAAAATAACGGCCCTTTTCAGCATGGTTCGTTTTCTTACATACTGTACATTGCTTTCTCGTATCACTGTCCTTATTTCTAACGTAACAGTCCTTTTCAGAGTGATTATTCTTTTACAGATAGAGCAATTTCTCTTACCTTTGTTGGGGCAGTTGATCTGGGCATGACCTATTTCATTACAATTGAAACACTTGAAAGGGGTTTTACTTTTGATTTTAGTTACTGTCTTAAAAGCTATGCTTTCCTCTTCTTTAGTCGTCATCTTGCACATCACTTCTTCCAACATCAATCTGGCCACCAGGTTGTCAAGGGTTCTGTCCACGGTCGCCATTGAGTCCCAGGCGGTGCTGAAGTGTTTGTAGTCTTCTGGTAGAATCGTTGTTATTTCTGTCATGATCATGTTTTCATCAATGTTTTGGTTCAGTTGACGAAGCTTGAAGGCAATGTTCTGCACATGACTTATATTCATCATCATGTCCTTAGTTTTGTCATACTTGAAGTTGTAGAAGTCTTGTAGCAGAAGGCTCTTCTGTTGAGAGGTGTCTCGCTGATAAATTTGCTTCAAGGTGTCATACATTTCTTTCACAGTTGTGCATGTCACAATGTGGGTTTTCATGTGTTTCTCTATCATTCTCACTATGTAGTATTGGCACTTTGCATCTTTCATCTTCCATTTCCTTATATTTTCTTCGTCTCTTCCTTGGTCACTTAACAGGTCGCTGCCATCAACGATGTTTATCAGTTCTTTTGCACGCATCAGAATCTTGATTTCAAAATCCCACAGTGGAAATGAGTCAGCGTCCTTCAGTTCTGGCAGATGAGTTACCTCTTCCGTCTCTGTGATTGCCATTTTTTTCGTTATTCTTCTTCTGTCTTCTCCTTTTTTTTTCATTTTTTAGTTTTTGAACAAATCTGGGCCCATAACCTGTTGATTTTCTTTGTGTCGTGCTTACATATCACTTAACAGCCATATTGGAGGAGAAGAAACTTTTTATTATAATACAAAACAAAAACAAATGAATATAGATCACTATTACCAACTTGAACATTTTTACATTACTAGATTCTCAACATCATAAACACTAGGGCAAGAAATCCAGGTACAGGGACTGTTCACAAGATAAGTGATAGAGATTGTGCACCACTGTTCTGTAAACAGGCGGGACATGTTCTCCGTGAGAAGGCTGTGCAACCTCCTTATCAACTCCCTGGAGAAATGGATATGGTTCTCTTCAAGGAAAAGACAGTCGCTTCCACCAAAGATCATGCTCTGCTACATCACCTTCCCCCAAAAAACAAAGAAAACAATTTCATGCTTCCTTCTGCAAAGTAACTATTCTGGTCTCTGGATAAGGGCTGTTCTTCCTTGCACTTCCTGTTCACTATTCATGCTGGCCCAGACTGGACTCACATTTCCATGTCCCTCCTCTGTCCTATCTACTTGAATCTGGTGTCCTTGTAAGGGTCATTTCCTGCTCTTGTAATTCCTGTACATCTCCTTTCCCTTTCTCATGGACATGAGTAACCCCTTTTTTTATGACATGCCTATGTAATTTAACTATGTGGGGCAATCCAAAAGTTTCCAAAATTTGAATTTTGCGCGCGAATGGTTATGAGTACATTGAAATACCGCTAGGTGTCTCCTCACACATCCTTCTTGAATCAGTGTGGCAAGCGGCGTCGAGTTAAGTGGTTGGGTTTATTGTTGGTGAACATATTTCCATTGTTGTGTTTCCATGAGTTTGTGGTTTTGCGATGGCTGACCTGAGACAGCAGCATGTCTGTATAAAGTTTTGTTTCAAACTTGGGAAAACCGCTGCAGAAACGCACCAAATGTTGAAGCAAGCTTTTGGTGGAAACAGTTTAGGCCAGACACAAACTTACAACTGGTATAAGCGTTTTAAAAATGGCTGAACATTGACTGATGATGACAATCGTTCGGGATGGCCATCAACGGGCAAAACACCAGAAAATGTCACGAAAGTTAGGGATCTGATTCTACAAGATCGTAGACTGACCATCCAAGACCTCTGTAACACCTTGGGACTAAGTTATGGTACATGTCAACGAATTTTGTCAGAGGAACTGAACATGATGAGGATTGGGGCAAAGTTTGTGCCACGACTGCTGCAAAATGAACAGAAGCAGCATCGCTTGGAAGTCTGCAGGGAACTTCAGCAACAGCTTCAAGAGGACCCAAACTTTCTTTCAAAGGTTGTCACTGGTGATGAAATTTGGGTTTATGGCTACAACCCTGAAAGCAAGTAGCAATCGTCACAATGGAAGAGCCCTTCTTCACCTCGGCCAAAAAAAGCTCAACAAGTCAAGAGCAATATTAAGTCCATGTTGATCTGTTTTTTTGATACTGACGGGATTGTTCATAAGGAGTTTGTCCCTCTTGGTCAGACAGTTAATACAGAGTTCTATCACGATGTTCTAAGGCATTTGAGGGAGAACATGAGGAGAAAACGTCCAGAGAAGTGGGGCACGAATGACTGGGTACTCCACCATAACTCACGACCGCATATGGCTTACATTGTGCAGGAATTTTGGGCTAAAAACAAGATGGCAGTTGTTCCCCACCCACCGTACTCCCCAGACTTAGCTCCATGTGACTTCTGTCTCTTCCCCAAGGTGAAAATCAAGTTGAAGGGGCAAAGATTTGATACAGTTGAGGAAATTCAAGTGGAAACGCAGACAGCACTAAACACCCTAACAAAGAAAGACTTCCAGGATGCATTTGAAAAGTGGCAGAAATGCTGGGATCAGTGTATGCACTCCGAAGGGGACTACTTTGAAGGTGATGGTGCAGAATAAGATCTAGGTAAGATGTAATAGTTTTTATTAATATATTTCGGGAACTTTTGGATTGCACCACGTAAATCCTTACCACTCTCAATTAACCCTGAAGATGAAGATAGCATCCTCCTCTGAAGTACTGGTATCCACTAACAAAACTAATACACCACAGTGCAGCACACTACAAACTATCCAACTCACATCATATCACACTTGATAATGGAAGTAGAAGTGTTTCTAAAACATTGCCATTGACATGGCTTACAGTCCAAGACTACAGTGATCAAGAATGTTACTGTAAACAATGGGGCACATAACACATTTACTTTGAGGAATATAACTTACCCGTGGCCTTATTTCCAGCTTGTTGTAGCCATAACCTGAGCATAGACATGGCTTGCTGTGCAACAATGCTTGGACACTCTGACTTCACAAGGTTAATATCTGAGGTTGTGATGCCAAGCTCACTCGCCAGGGGTACCCAGTCCTCTCCTAGCAGATTGCTTATGTCTGACAAACGGAGGTCTGTGCGTTGATATGTCGTATCTAGACGGCCTACAAACAAGTTATATCTGATGAAAATACAGTTTTGTGGCAGAAAATTCTGTGCTTCTGCATTATGTTGCCTACTATTATCTTCTTAACACTTTAAATGCCCGTCTCTAAAAACTGAGATGTGCAAAGAATGTTTTCCAGTTGTCTTTGTTTTCTAGAATTATGGAAAATAAGGTCATATGACTACTATGCAATTTTCATGTGAACTTTTTCTAATAATTGGAATAACTGTCCATCATTGACACCAGTCACAATTTATGCAATCCTTTATATCATTAAACCTAAATAATAAGGCACTAGAAACATAATTCTGAAGATGTACGAAGGCATCAATTCCTTAAAAATTCCTAACAATTGCACAGTTTCTTTCAGTTCTTATTCTTGGTTATTCACATTCATTCATTGCACAATAAACTGATTATATTTTCCCAGAACACAAATTTAAAACCTTTGTCAAATTATAAGACCAGTTTTGACAAACATCATTACATATACCATAACTAAATACATTACTCTATATTGTATATGCATCAAAATGGTTTCAAACTATATGTACTGTTAATTTTTCACAAGCTAAAATGGTTTTTCAGTGAGAAAGTAGCCCTTTTGTGCCTGAATGCATCTGGAGAAGAACCTGCATTTTGACACAACTGACAAAAAACTTTTCAAGTGGAATATAAACAGAGAGAGATATACAGGGACATATTTAAAGCTACTGGTGAGTTCACAGCTCTGCGCTTTATGGCAACCAGTGAATCACCAGCCGTGAAGCACACAAAAATTTTGCCAATGACTCAGCATGCTTGATGGCTGATAACGTTTGGAATGAAGGAAAATAACTAACTTGTAGACCGCTACACAGTATTATGTTACGTACATGGCTGGCAGTGTGGTTCATGCATGGGAGTTTGTTTATGATTTGTCAGCAGTAGGCAGTACTTATGAGCACCATGAGCCATTTGTTCCCAGTTAACAGTTAGTCAGGAGTGTGGCATGACATGACATGATACTTTAAAGCAAAATGTATTTGTTTATGACAACTATATGAAATATGGATCTGCAGGAAAGTATTGGTGAAAATTTTGATGTAAATTTTTTGATAAAAGAGTTCCCAGCAGGAAAACAATTCATAATTTGGTGAATAAACTTAGAACGACAGGACTCTTAACCGTTCAGCATGGTTTGACGTGTATGTTTCATCAGGTATTTAAATCGTCTGCGGGGGTTCGACGTCTATGTTTCGTCCAGCTGCACACCTATGTAATAACGCCCATAATAATTGATGGTTTTGCTGTAGATTGTTAGATTTTTCGCTGGCCTGTTGTCAGAAGGACAGTATATAATGAGGCACGAGTTTTTCTGCGCTAAGTCATCGTTACATATGCCTGTCTTGCAGCAAAATTCCTGTTGCTCTTGGGAGAGGTTTCGTCATTCAAACTGTTATGAATGTCATGTTTTCTTTCCTATGAAGTTATAAACAGCAGAGACGTGATATGAACAGCAGAGACGTGATATGTGCTGTGTTTATAATATCATATTGCCCTGAGCTGGCCACACTAACACACTCAATTGGAATTCTTAGACGAGGGATGTCCAAAAATTTATTCTTGCAAGATCGATTGATTTCGCACAGTACATAGCAGTGAGTTCTTGGAAAAATGTCACGAATTAAGGCAGAACACTGTGGTCACCCCCTATGACGATACTGGTGTGTGCGGGGGG